CTTAAATAGTCACACATATGTGGCATAAACTGACTCAAAAACACACATGTATAAATAAACAATAACAAATATTTTCTTAAAAGAGAATCACAGGAGTGGAAAACTACTCTGTATGTCCTTCTGAGAAACTTTTCCAAAATTCAAGACTTAACACTAAGATAAGAAATACCCAGATTAGTATTTTAAGCAAAGTACTTTTGAGAACTATTTTTGCTTATTTTATATTAGACAAACATATATATTTTCCTTCATTAACATAATTAATTGGGAGTGATTTTCTTATATTCAAAAATTCAAATATTACTGAAATATTAAGAAGACAAAATTGAACTCAACACTACTATAGCTGTCCAGGACACATGTTCCCTTCCCTAACAGCTATAAACAATTTTAATCATATTTATACTATAATAAAAAGGACATGTAATGGCAAACATGAAAAATACCAAAAGAATTTGGTATTTGTGTACATTTTTGCAAGCTTTCTTTTCTGATTTTCCATGTGTCTTCTACCACTTTATAGCCAGAAGCTCTTGTACAAAAATCAGTTAAGCCATTAAAAGTTTTTCTTTAATGGAGGTAAGAATTCATTACTACATTTTTCTATGTGAAGTATGCTATTAAATAATAGCTTATACACTAATTAAAGCAAATGTAATTGTGAGAACACATTGACATTGTTAAAGTAAATTAGCCAATTTGTTAATAGTTTCATTTAAAGTGACCCTAATTGTATTAATTGTGATACTAGCAAATTGAAATGAAGAGCATTAAACACACTGTTCTAATATGTCCTAGAGGAGTGAATTCTCCATTACATCAGCAGAAGCAAAATAATGATTACATGCCCTCCTTGCCCCAAATAAAACTTGCATATATACAAGTTTACTTATATGCAAGTATATACATACTCATATGCACACCCTGGATCAACAGAAAAGTCTTGCTAGTATGCATACACTCAATATCTTTTAATTGTTGCATGCTATAAAATGAACCAGACAGAAGAATCCTCAGGTATATGTGGAATATTATAGCATCCTTTTTCTGAGTTACCAAAAATTATTTCACCATTAAATTGTCCAAATTAAGTTGTTAAAATGTTGAGGAAACAAACATTCATTTGGAAGAGAAATGTAAAAACATTTTTTATGTTTTTTACAACATAAAAAGCCAATTTTAAAGATATTCTAAAGCTATAAAGAAACCATCACTTAAAAAATGCCATGTAGTTGGAAGGATATATGACCCAAGAAGAAATTACAGGGTCCATACACATAACAGTATGTAAGATGACTATTAAGTAATTCTCAGTTTAAACAAAATAAATCTGTATTTCTTGGCCATTCTATGCCATTTTGTGAATAGTTAGCCTTGATGTCAGGGCTATAGAAAGCTCCTTTCAGTTACTGTCAACAATTTTACTACTCCTTTCCTGAGAATTTACATTGTGTGAACTCTGCTTTTAAGAGATATGCTACTCCTGCTACAGTTACCATCTTTATATGCCTGGATTCTTGTTTGTCATTCACATACAGCCAGATCCTCACATTCTCAGAGGCCTTCCCTGACAATTTTATAAGTACTCATTGCAACACCACCCAATTTGAATTCTTAGAACTGCCCACCCCCTCTTTATTTCTTTGTGTAATTTGTTAATGTTTTATTTTCTCTCTAAGGATAAAATGTCAATTCTGGTGAGCAATCAAGAACATGCAGAAGCTAACTCTAAGAAGTTAGTTACTGACAATGTCGCTCCCTCTTAGTTCTGAAACTATAGGATTCAGAAATGAGGGAAACAGGGGACAAACAAATTTAAAGGGCAATACTTGGTTAAAAAGTACTCTGAACACTTTTGTTTTTGTTTTTTGTTTTTTTTGTTTTTTTCCCTAGAATGGGTTACTCTGTGCAGCTCTGGATGTCCTTTAACTCTGTGTAGAGGAGGTTGTCCTAAAACTCAGAGGCCTGATTTCTCCTATTCCCGCCTTGACCTCTGTATTACTGAGATTAAAGGTATGTGACACCACTTTCTGATAATTTGTATTTTAAAGTAGGTAATTTTAAAATATTTCTAAGGATAGAAACCTTTGAAATAAATAATGTTTAACAGTAAAAATTATTTAGTGTTAAAGTAAGAAGCAGAGTATTGTGTCATATAAAATTCAAGCTAAAACTTTTGGCAATATAATACAAAATACTATTCTCAAAGACAAACAATAGGGAAAATCTTCTCCCAATGTTAGTGAATGCCTTGGTTGTTATAACACGGAGAAACAAATGGTAATCCTAATGAATCGACTCACTGACATCCCCTATACCTCCAGACTATCAGCCTAGTCAAAGATAATTATTCTCATTTATCATTACAGGATGGTAAGAACATATAATTATGAAATTAAAAAATATTATGTGGGTTAACTTGAGTGTGATTATGGATATTTGGTCAACTCTTTGACCACAGACTCTGAAATTTAAGGTAGTAATGTAAGCACAAAACCAAACTTGATAAGGCACAGGGAATATATATTTCTGTAGAGGTTATTAATTAGAAAAAAGATTCAAAGAATAATTAACATGGAAATATGCTGAATGATTTCATACATATTTAAGGACAGTTGTTATCTACCCCCATAAAAATTTTAAAAAAAAAAAGGTGAGGCTTTTTTAAATTTAATCCCATTTTCCTTTCTAATTTCAAAAGAATTCTCAAAATCATTTACTAGTGCTATTTCTTTACAAATGTCAAAATTCAGACTTGATACAACAGAAGATTGCTTTACTAATGCAATCTCTAACAGGATTGTTTTTAATTGGAGATGACTCCAGGTAGAAAAACTACTAACCCAAATCCAATGTTTATCTGTTTAAACAAGGACTCAGTCATTGTGTAGCACACAAATAACCTACAGTGTATTGCAGAAATGTAAAAAGAGCTTCAAAATACTTCCAGAAATGTAAGACACACATTAAAATGAACTCTAAAGGTAATGATTATTCAAGTAAATATGACAACCCCAAGAAAATAGAATACACAATTTTTGTGTGTACAAAGTGCAAGCAAAGAAGACCAAACAGGTACTTGGTATAAAATGTTTACATATAAGACACACAAAACTCACTATGGTTAGTAACCTTTATGTCTTAGAAAAACCAGTTATTTACATATCTTTCTTTCCTTATATGCCTGAGCGTATGTGTGTTTTGTATATATTTTTAACAGTTGACAGCTGTTTTAGAGCATACAGAGATGCCAAGCTGAATGAGGGTCTTGATTACTTCAAGATTAGCTATCTAAAGTTTCTATTCATTTTAAGTGTTGTTAGTTGGAAGAGTCATTAGTCACTTCCTTGTCTCATAGAACATCAGCATACATTTACATTGTTAATGAACATTTGGGGTAAATGAATTAATGGCACTTTAAAACATCAATTCAGTCCTAATAACTTGGTATGTCACAGAAATGTTAGGCTAGGATATAAATGAAATCCCTTTCAGGAAAGGTAACTACTCATTCCTTTAGACAATATAAGATAAAATTAATTTAAAATGTTTTTAACCAGGGTTTTAAAATGTTCAATATTTAATGTAATATCCTAGAGAAAAAAAGATTCACTTAAAACACAATGGAAAATGATTTTCTCAAATAAACAAATAAACAAGAAATATTCTGAAAAGTATTGGCAAAATTGTTTTATATACTTCTATTACAAATATATATTCACTTTTAAAGCATTTATGGAATTATAGGTACATATTACAGGCATTAAATTTAAGGGAAATATCATAAGAAAAGCTTTCAGGCCTTCTCACATGGTAAGATATTTCAAACTGAAATAATCAAAGTTAATTTTCATATTGTCAAAATCTAAACAGCAGGCTTTTTGGGTCCTTATATAACAACAAAAAAATAAAATCCCAAAATAATTTTGAACAACAAATGCTAATATTTTAAACAAAATTATCAATGGCATTTATAGAATATACAAGGCACTAAAGTATTACACATACGCGCGCATGCGCGAGCGCGCACACACACACACACACACACACACACACACACACACACACATACACGCACACACACATACCACTATATGCAGATATAAAGAGCTTTTGTTCATACAAATGACCATTTTAGGAGTCAGTTTTTTAAATTACCAAAACATCATGGTAGACCTCAGCATCAGTATACAGGTAAAAATAACTTTATTTTAAGCATAAAAAATGAATTGTTTCAAATACTTTATTTGAAATAGATTTTATAATCTTGATATATACATTTTTATGAATGAAAAAAATACTAGTAGTCATTTGAGCAATAACATTTTTAAATGCTTAATGAACTACTCAAAAATAAGGGTAAGGCTATAAGATATTTAACAAACTTTTCTTTTTTAGAAAGTCTACCATGAAGTAAATATGAAAAAAAATCATTTATTGTTCTGATACATAGATATTTAAGGCATTTAAAAGAACAGAACCTTAACAATGCATACCTTTCAATGATCCACAATTTAACAATTTCACTGAACATATAAACAAGAGTGTGATACAAATTTGAATTATTTATAAAAAGAAAGGAAAAAATGAAACATTATTAAAAAGTTCATTCTAGAACTGAGCTCAATTTAATATATGGAGAGGAGAGTAAATTACCTGAAAGCTCAACACCAACAGCTCAGGATTCTTCAAAATTTGATAAAGGGTATTTGTATTTCAACAATGACTTTCTACATTAAAGGCATTGTCTAGTGTATGACTTTTCTTAAAGAATGGAAGTAAATTATTAATCATTTGATTAAAGCATCTTTTACCTTTAATACAAAGGTAACTTTATGGGTAATAACTAGAATCAAGAGCATTCTACACATATCTAGCAAAATATTCTTAAATTTCTTCTGACTTGCTACGTGCAAAAGACTTACACCATAGTATGAGTAGAACATACTGAAGGCCCTCCATTAAGTTCCTAGCATATGCACACAGCATAGAAAACTTACCTCTTGATTTATTTGAATAACTGAACAAGGGGTCAATGCCTACTTCTTGTTCTTCTGACTGCAGAGGATGTCCAGTTTCAGACACAGACTTATACATTGCATATAGTGAAGACAGTCACCAAATGTAATTGCCTAGACGAGAATGAAAACAAAGATGAAATAGATTTTCTCTGTTATGGTTGGGAAAGAATACTAGACAGAATGAAATGACTGTATGAACAATGCAGACATCAACAAGCTTTCTACAGGATACAGGGCCAGTCTGTTACTACATGCTTGAGGACTTGTACACAAGAGCAAAACCATGTCAAAAAAAATTCCATGCAAACAGTGCTTCAAAAAAAACTTGACTTCATTTATAATCTTTACATCAATGTGGAATAACATTTATTTTTAATAAAATTTATAAAAATCTTAACTGAAAGTTTCTGCAAATTTTATTTTTATAGCATTTAACAAAGCAATGACTTACACTTTATTTAAGAATACTGAAAATACAAAAAATACAGCCAATTAAAATTACTTATAATAGAATTAATACAAAATGACATTGCTAACATTCTATTGTATTATACTTGACACTTGTCTTTGCTGTGGACATTTAGAGAACATGTTATCAATGGAAAACATACTGATTATGTACAACTATCACTAAGTTTTACAATAAATTACAATAAATTAGTACTAAATTGTAATGAGTGTTGTCCTTGTGTCTAAATTGCAATTTCTAACGGCTGTCTGGCACTCCATTATAGCTACCACAATTTATGTCCACAATTCTTGATTAATTAGGAGGGTCTCGGTTATTCACACCATAGACGGCCACAATAATTGTATGTCATATTCATGATTATTTTCTTTTAAAAAATGCTACAGTTTCAGGAATTAAAAAAATACAATAAAATGTAAAGTTTTTCAGTGTCTTCACATGAGAAAATAATTCTTTATACTGTAGTTGTTTGATACTTGGTGAGGTCACTAGGGATTTCCAGCGTTTTTCTGAGAATTCCGACAACCACTGAAAGAGACATCTAAAAATATGAATCAAATAGAGTTGCCCTTCAATAAGTTGGTACTTTATCATGTTAATAGAAAGGTGATTTACACCCTAATCTACTTTTTTATTTTTGATGTCCTCGATGTCCATAAAGTACAAATTACACAAACTATAATGTTCCCTCCTAAAAAAACATTTTCATAAATTCTTATTCAAAATTATGTAAACAGCAAATTTTCTTAATTTGAAGGGCAGTTATGGGCTGGGTAGTGGTGGCACAGGCCTTTAATCCTAGCACTAAAGAGGCAGAGACAGGTGGGTGTCTGCTAGTGTGAGGCCAGCCTGGTCTGCAGAGCTAGTTCCAGGATAGCCAGGCAAACCCTGTTTTGAGAAAACAAAAACTAAAACAAACTAGGGTGAGCTGGCAGAGGGACACCAACAGAGGAAATGCCTCCAACAGGCCATAACCTGAGCTTATCTGGGGAAATTTCCTTGATCAATGATCGATATGGGAGGAGAATTCCACACAGCTGAAGAACATGATCACATTCATCTCCGATCCTAAGGTCCTTGGGAATTTTTTTATTTGATTGTGATAGTTAAAATTCTAAAAATGATTCAATAAAATTAGCACTAAGTCTAATTTTTTAGAACAATGGTTCTCAAACTGTGGGTCATGACCGCTTTAGGGTTGAATTATCCTTTCATTGGAGTCACATATCAGATAAACTGCATAGCAGATATTTACATTACACTCCATAACAGCATAAAGATTACAATGATGAAGTAGCAATGAAATAATTGTAGAGCTGGGGATCACCATAACATGAGGAACTTTATAAAGAGTCACAGCACCAAGCTCAAGAAGGAAGACCAAAGTGTGAGTGCCTCAGTCCTTTTTAGATGGGGGAACAAAATACTCATGAGAGCAAATACAGAGACAAAGTGTGGAGCAGAGATTGAAGGAAAGGCCATCCAGTGACTGCCCTACCTGGGGATTCATCCCATATATAGTCACCAATCCCAGACATTATTGTGGATGCCAAGAAGTACATACTGACAGGAGCCTGACATAGCTGTCTCCTGAGAGGCTCTGCCAGAGCCGACCAATACAGAGGAAGATGCTTGCAACCCAAGGTCCCTAATGGAGGAGTTAGAGAAAGTACTGAAAGATCTAAGGGGTTTATAACCTCATAGGAAGAACAACAATATCAACCAACCGGACCCCCCAGGGCTCCCAGGGACTAAACCACCAACCAATGAGTACACATGGACAGACACTCCAGCTGCATATGTAGCAGAGGATTGCCTTGTTGGAGATCAATGGGAGGAGAGGCCCTTGGTCCTGTGAAGGCTTGATGCTCCAGTGTAGGGGAAAGCCAGTGCAAGGAGGCCTGAGTGGGATGTTGGGTGGGCAAACATCCTCATAGAAGCAAGGGGGGATGGCATAGGGGTTCTCCAGGGGCAGGGGGCAGGAGGGAAGAGAGGAAGGGGATAACATTTGAAATGTAAATAAAGAAAATATCTAATTTTAAAAAGAGAAAGGAAGGAAATAAGAACAGACAAACGAAAGAACAAAAGAATGAAAGAACGGAAGAAGTTGGGAACCACTGCTAGAATTTGACAAGTCTATGGTAACAGCCAAAATCCAGAATATGAAGTTAATTATAAACATACTAATCTACAATCATTCCTCTATACAATGACGAATATCCAATATCATCATTTATGAAGACTATATATCAAAACTAAGACATTAAAATGTATTTATACTCAAAGTAAACATGAAGACTTTCAGGTAATTTACTGGGAGCATGGATGGTGCTCTTCCTTTTGTTTGAAGACAGATTTAAATAATGATCTAATTCAGAAATAACAGAAAAAGTTGTGGCCCCAGTTTGTATTGCTTTGTTTTAAATATCTAGGACTACTTTAGTTTTGAGAATAAAAAGGTTAAGTTTATTATTGCTTTTGGGACAACCTTGTAAAAACAAAAATAAAAAGCTGCTTTTAAGTGTGAAATCAAATTACTAGGAAAAACCCAATTTGTAGTTCAAAAATATACCCACAAAACTGTATTACAAACAGAATATTAAAGATTTTTAAACAAATGTATCTATAATCATTGAAATAATTGTTCTGAATGAATTATTTATGTGTAAATGTCAGACCAAAAAAAAAAACACAAATTGCTCATCTTATCGGTGTGATATTTTTAAAAATTATATATTTAGTGCTCCATTACTCCTAAAGTTTGCTTTGACAAATCTGACATCAATTTTATACTTGCTACAACCTAATCACCTAGCTTCTCTGTGGGAGAAAATATTTAAAGCTGAAAACATGCCTCTTAGACAATGAAAAATTAAATCAATAATTGATAGACTTCCTTAAATTATGCTAATCAGTGTCTAAATTCTAATAAAATTAATACCCATGTTTTACAATAAATCAATGTAATCTTACTTTCTTAAATTTAGAAGCAGAGAAATATACATTCTTATACCTTGGAAAAGATACATATTTCTTTTGTTATTCTTATCGTACACATGTATTATGCTCTGCAAAACACAAAATTAAAAACTTGAGACTGATTTTCCTGAAATTCTTTGAAGCTACCCTAATAATACGAGTTGACAAATCGGGCTGAAATTCCATTCATGATCTTAAATTAATCTTAAAGACAGGTGGAATGTTTTCTAAAGTCTGGTTCTTACCAGACTAAATCTGAATATGAAAGTACCTGGAAAAAAAAAAGTAGCTACCTGAAAAGTTTTATATGGAAAGCTTATAATACAATGGCTATGTCAAAGTTTAAAGGTTTATTGTGAAGGTGGAATTTAAAGTATATTAAATATATTATGATATTTTTATGTAAAGTAAGTACCCTTTTAATTAAAGGTCTCATTAGCTAGCAATGGGTGGGTAACACATTGATGTTACATACTTAACATTTAAAACAGTATTATATTTTAAGTATGAAAAAATAGTATTACAAGTTCTAACTAATCTATTCACATTGTCTGTGAGGCTTCACTGCTCCAGCTTACGGTCACTCCTTCACTGCTTAGAAGACTTAGTTAGCATTAGCTTTGTAAAGTGCACATTCTAAAGACAGATTTTTTTTTTTTAAATGCTTATCAACAGCATTCAATTGTTTGGATTCCTAACTGATGTCAAACTAAAAAATAATTAATTAATTAAATGAAGCACTAAAAAATACTAAATGGTATTCTTTTACATGCAAAAAATAATAAACCCACACCAAAGAGATTCAACAAACTACTTTTTAGAATTTTATAACAAGAAGACAACAAAAATAAGTAGGTATTATCGGTAGACTGTACTCACTATGAGGTATATTTAAATTAAAATATGACAGTGCCTCTAAAAAGAAATCGTCTTTAAAAATCCTTAGAAGCTTTATTTACATATTTAAAAGGTAAAGCAATTGAATATTTTATAAGTTTTGCAAAGAATAAAACCCACAGTTTTTATTTAGAAATGCAAAAAGTTAAGGTAAATCTATGGTTAAAAACAATAATATTCTTTAAAATATCAATTACAGTTACAAAGGAGACAAGATAAAAAGTCGGAAGTTCTATTTAAAATTCACTCTTTAATGCAGGACAGCTACATGGGCTTTAAATAGGTTAATTAACTATTAAAATCAATCATTTTAAGTCTTAATATTTAATATTGTTAGATTGTATATCAAAGTAGTTTTATTATTTATTTACTCCAAACCTTTATAGAATACTTCATTTGACAATAGGGGGTCTGATTCTCACAAGACAAATGCATCTACAATGCCAAATAAATTATATATAAAATCATTTGTCTGAATACATGTCACTCAACATTAAATATCACCCATTAGTAAAATATTGAGACTCATTTCTACCAACCATAATCTAGACATATCAACTGTTGTCTAATAATCAGTTACAGGACTGTAAGTTTCAACACCAAGAGCAATGATCAAAGGTAAATTAAAATATATTAGAGCCTATAGTTTTTATACTGTTAAAATAATATCTTAATACAATATGCGTAATGAAAATATATAGTATGTAAAAGATTCAAAGACTAAAATGTTTCTCCTATAGACTATTAATACACTTGGCATTTCAGT